TAGTGCTCTACTATTTAATAAATTTTGTATCGTTAAAGATCTATATTATTTAAAGAATACTATCATTTAATCACATTTGTTGTCATTACATAAAAGATGTTAATACTTGAAATATAAGAATAATAGCTCATTGAAGGTGGTATTTCACTTTATAATTAAATCTGCGTAGATAACATTGTTCAACAAATTATGACGTTTCTTGGGATTTGTAACATTCAATAGACGTTTTATTCTATCTATAGATTTTTGTGCGTTGAATACAATACTTTTCTCATGTACAATTTTAATAATAAAAATTGGAAATTTTCAATTTTAAAGGTATTTTATTTTAGTAATAATAATTATATTTATCTTCATAGAAAATTATTCTATAGGTTCTTCTACAATAAAACATAGCTAATATTAATATTATAAGAAAAGGTCTATTGAAAGTTGAAAGCCCGATTGTGTGTTGAACATTACTGTCATCGATGAAAGTTATTTTTTTGATTAACCATTTTTTTTGGTCATCAAATAAATAAAAATAGTCGTTAATTACCTTTACACCCCTGAGAATACGCCAACGATTTCCCATGTGCCCAGGCATCTTAGTACCAGGCATTACCCTAGCTTTTTTACCTCCAGAACCAATATTACCTCCTCTCCTATGAGTTTTTGTTACACCATGACTTTGAGGCATACCTTTGAATCTCCATCTTTTCATGACACCTTGAAAACCGCGATCTATCCTAGATTGGAAAATAATGTTATGATCGATTCTTTATGTATCTAATATGCAACATAGGAATAAGTACAATATTTACGTTTTCCCTCTAATATCAATATGTTCTCCTGGTTTAAAATGAGTTACATTCAAAGGAGTTCCTGGTGGCAAGACTGCATTTGGTGTGACAACAAACCTCGCAAGTATTCTCTTTGGTGTAACACCGCAAGAATTAAATACTCCACAGTACTCTTTAGTAAGCTATGAATATAAAATAATTATAAGCAATAAGTTACATAGGGTAGTGAAGTCTGTTACTATAGTAATAGTTGTGCCTTTGGTTTGTTTTCGGGCATAATTAACTTTACAATTATCGAATAAGACATATTAAACTTTCTATTAAAAAATAAACAAAATAAAAGAATAAAAAATTTAATATATCTCATTTGATAAAAATAAAATTAATTATACCTGAAAACAAACCAAAGACAGCAATTGGTAATTGACTCCAATATCCTACATTTACGCATGTGTACAATTATTAAATAACCAATGAGAATCCATTGACTTACTAATTGAGGATCTATATTTTGGGAACCTAGTACAAGGCAACCATTCTTAGTTTTCACTTGTGGACGCCTTTGTACAACTGGTTCATACTTTTCTGGTGGTATATATTTGACAACTTCATTGTCTATAATCTATAAAAGAAAATATATACGATAACTTTAAAAAATTGTATGAAGCATAAATTAATGAATAAGTTTAAAAGATATAGTTATGTAGTATTACTTCAATTTTGATACAGTAAAACGATTACAAGCTTGTTCAACAATTAAACATATTATTTTCTGTCATTAATTATGAATTTTGATCATATATTTTTGATGGATGACATATACATATATGATTATGGTAGTTGGTAGCACCTGTATTAGAGTAGTTAATACTCTATATCCATTTTTAAGCCATAATGGATATACTCCTATTTTTTTTCCAATTAGTCCAGTACGTTTTGAGCCTACAGTCCATTTTATATCTGGTTTAATTATGTCTGCTTTTAGTGGAGTCTTCTGTGTAAGAAGTTTGGTCGCTACAACCTCTGAGAGGAATTCCTTATTTTCTTTAGTAAGTTCCTCATTGTAGCGCTGATAAAAAAATTAATATTATATAGCATTCATAAAATAGGAATTCAGAGAAATGAAAATTCTGTTATGTTACTACATACCACACGTTGTGGTTTTGGAAGCCATTCTGGATGGCGTTTCTTTGGAGGAGGATTCAATTTTCCACGAACTGGAACCACGTTGATACTAAAATTGACCATAGCATTATTAAATAATAGTAACATAATAGTGTATAATGAATAAATATACCCGACAGTGAATTTTTATACATGTAAAGTATACAACAGTGTATATAAAGTTCTACTTCTATGTTTTCGATTTTTCATACCTTGTTTGCAAATATTTACTAAAAAGTTGAAAATTCTGGAAAGTTCTTAAAACTGATGCCATGATTGTTGAAGATTGAAAACCGTCTTTGAGAAGTTGTTGGTCTGATATGTAGAGATAACCTTAAATGAAACACGTACATACAAATGACTAAAAACAAAATCAAATTCAACGCCAGGAACAATTGTTTAAGAATATTATTTTCTTTTATGCTTAAAAATAGTAGAATTAATATATGTTAGTCTTGGTTTCCATAATTCTGCACATTTCAATCAGTTTAACTCGAGACACATTTAAATCGCTAGCAGAAACGCTGCGATACGAAAAACATAGCAAGTAATACACATGGTCACATGCAATTTCAATACATACAAATTTTATATAAACTTTGCATGAAACCAGAAAGTTTGAAAATATTATTAATTCTGATTTATTTTATCTTCCTCTTATATCAATTTTTTTATTATAAATTATTATAATGAAGTTAATATGTAATATTGAATTGTATAAATCTACTTATTTTATGCAATATTATGTCACTATTAATAATTGTTCGACTATTACAAACATTTAAAAACAGAAACAATGTATAACGTGTTTTGTATCGTGGATAAAAAGTATTACACTTTGTAATATGATTGTTATAAGGTATAAACTACAATTTGCGCGCTTTAACAACTTTGAAATTCATAATAATAATAATAATATAGTTACATTATAAGTTCTGAATATTATATATTGGAAAATACAAAGAACAGTTATATGTATAAACTACAAATCGATATTTAGCTTTCATCAAATGTTGCAGTACTTTATACATTTTGCAAATTATTTAATTTGTTCCGTTCCCCTTCTCATCCAATAAATGCGAGTACGTATGTATGCATATTTCGTTTCTAGACATAATCGTACCGTTCATGTTTCTCATAAGCTACAAAATTGTTTTCACTTTTTATCTAAATAAAGTTAGTTGACGGTGGAAGTTATGGTTAAAAGGATAGAAATGGTTGAAAATGTATGAATTTTTTCAAATTGTTTTAAAAGCAATTACCATCTGAAAAATTCATCAGACACGAAAGACTCATATTTACAGTTAGTCTTTGATCGAGGCATGTGGTCTCCGAATTGGCTTCGATTCGTGGAATATTGCTTCCAAATTTCCGTCGAACGTAGGTCCGAATAGCATAACTCCACTAATATTTTCTTTCGAGCGACATTTATTTCTTCTTTGACGTTGCTTTTAATATTTTTCTAATGCTTTTTTTTGTTATAATTACAATTTGAATAAATATGGTCTAAAGCATGTTGTGTTTGGTCTCATTATAATTGGAAGAATCTGACCACGATATATTAAAAAAATTTGCATGTATAAAAAATTGCCCCGAGTTTCGTTCTCTCTCTCTCTCTCTCTCTCTCTCTCTCTCTCTTATACGAGATGTCGGCAACTATGAAAACTGAGTGTCCGCCGATTACCGTTTTTGATTCCGAGCTCTTTTCATACCTTTATTGTAGTCATGAAAGTACTTTGTTTACAAACAATCTTGCACATAGCTATTTTATAGCACACATTGTTTTTTTTTATTCTCTCTCTCTCTTTCTCTCCCACTTTCACCAGTGAATACCTAAGATCTGAAATTCACTATGTCATATTGTATTATAATTAAAGTACATTTTTCATGAAGGAGTTGTGTTTATTGTTGTTCTTAATTATTTGTTCTCATTGTACCAAATGTTCAAATAAAATATATCAGTAGCCGATGATATACATGATGGTGATTGATTCGATAGAATAAGGGTCTACGTTGACCCATGAAGTACAGTATAAACCGGTGTAACTTTAAACCGTATTATCTAAGAAAGTCGGAAATGTAATGTAGACCCTTATTTGAGATTCACAGTCAATTTGGTCGCGGTGCAGGAACTTCGACCTACAGAAAAAACGGTGGGCGCTATTAATCCGAAATAAAAACGTCCTTTCAGTGTCGCCTTGGCGAGAGAGAGTCTCGGGCCCGAAATGAATAGCGAATGGATTTGGAGACAATCGCAAAGGGGGAAAAAGAGCGGTCCAACGGGGGCGGAAAGGAGGAGGGGGCCGGTGGAATTGCCTGAACTGGACAGCACGTGGACTACCTACTTTTATATCGCTCGGGAAATAATGGGATTCCCATCATGAAGTGGATTTCCCTCGGGAGCCAGTGGACATCGATGCACGCGTCAAGAGATCCTACACCGCCCCCGTATCCTATCGGTCTCTTGCAGCCGGCCGACGTTCATCGTGCTTGTCCACCCTCGCTCGTTCACCTGTCCGGCCACCCCCCACCCTGAACGTGTCACAACCTGACGCGCCGGCTCGGTTTTCGAGGAATTCAAGATTTTTTTTGTGGTACACGTATGAAATGTATAACACGATCATTGCTTTCCACAGTTTCACGATTGCCGTGGCCAAATTCATTCAAATTTTGATGGATCAATTAGTTCTCACATGTTTTCTAAATTCATTGCTTCGAGCTTAATGTTGATCTTATTCGACTTGATATAAATGTACAATGATCTAAACTGGCTATTAGAATAGTCGGATGTGTAGTTGGAACGTTTGTAACTGTCCCGTAAGTCGGCCTGTTATTTATGAGTGACGCGAGTAATCTTATTTGAATTATGCCGTATCTTATCACAACTTTTATTTCCGAAGAAGGATTTTGGATTGCTCGTCTTTTCAATATCGATTTCACGTTATTGTATCACGTCGTTATTGCAAGACACTTTAAAATCGAGCTGGAAAAATTAAGCGACGGGCGAGACTTGATATTTCTTCAGAATCACATGTTCATAAAATTTCAAAAATGGTCACTTTTTGCTACAAGAGGAGGAACTGAAACTGTCGGTGAAGCGATTTTACAAATTTTGTTTGATATGAATAATGTAAATTATTTGTTTGCTGTTCGGGTGATTGCAGAAATTACAACACGAATTTGTTATGAAATGTTATATATTTTGCAATAAATTCGCAAGCTCCTGTCTAAGCCAGTAATTTTAAATCGCTGATTGATTAAACCGTAAAAAAATGCAAAAGCTGTTGTTTTATATTAGTTTATAAAAGTAACAATGACACATTTATCCTGATTTTTAACGAGTGTTATTTTGATATGTGCCGCAAGTAATACGTCTATTGAATAAATAACTCGTAAATGTATCTTCACAATCTGAGTAATCGTAAATTAAAAAATTAGTGGCCCGTCACTTTGACCGGTTCCGTAAACCTAGTTTTAATACAATTTGTTTAAATACGCATTTACAAATGTATCAAATTTGAAATTGTAGAACAGATGATTTTTAGTACATATGTATCACATTTGTACTTGATGTCTTATTATAGCTGAATGTGAATTGTAATGATGTCAGTAGAAACGAGATATAAGAATTGAACTAACATCTTTGCGATTTTGTGTTATAGAGTAAACTGCCTTGCCGACCTGAAAATTAAGGACTGATTGGAGCGTCCTCTTCTCATGGACGACTGCCAGTAGAAGTACTATTCACTGAAGTAGTATCGGAAAGGAAAGGGAAAGTGTGTGGATGGAATGAATATAAGTGAAAAGAATTATAGTAAAGAGATTAATTTGTATGTTTTATTAACATTTTCCATGACTTCCATTCTCATCTTTTTACAAAGACTAAATAAAAAAAGTAACTAAATTTTTAATTGTTAGCGTCATCTCTAATTTATTTATACAAGGAAATTCCTATTTCAAAGATTTATCAGGTGAAAACCGGAATTCCTTTTGGCATTGCTTTTACAAGTATCGTATATTATAATTCGCATATTATACAAGGATGCTTAACGATATTAATTACAGTAAAGATAGATCAGATTAGAATTGTTGATCAGCTTTTCAGGTCCAGTCAAAGCCAAGTGAGTCGAAACCAATCAAAGTCGAATTCCAACAGGTCTCGGTCGTCATAAATATTTAATAATTCTATTACCCCTACCTATTTATTATTTATAACACTTTTAGTTGCCAACGATGTTGTTAAACACTTCCCCAACTATTTTGTCATTTCACTTCTTAATTAAAATAATTGACTGAATTTAAAAGACACCATAACTTATGGGGTGGTTGTTTTGTTTATATTTTTATATCGACCTGATGTCAAAGTTTTAAAATCATGGTTAATTATTAGTTGGGATAACAAGAAATGTTACAATAAATTATAATCTCTTAGGAAACAATAAAATACATCACATTACATTATTTAATACTTTATAACACTTCCCCAACTATTTTGTCATTTTACTTCTTAATTAAAATAATTAACTGAATTTAAAAGACAGCATAACTTTTGAGGTGGTTGTTTTGTTTATATTCTTATATCGACCTAATGTCAAAGTTTTAAAATCATGGTTAATTATTAGTTAGGATGACAAGAAATGCTACAATAAATTATAATCTCTAGGGAAACAATAAAATACATCACATTACATTATTTAATACCTTTAAATGTATTAAAAGACATTTTTGTCCAGAAGAATCGGTGGAATTCTACGAATTCTACGATCTAAAATAATAATTGTCAACATCTGCACACACACACACACACACACAATATGCTTCATAAAACGTGGATAATACAAACTATTATTTAACTAAAAGAAATTTTTCTGTAAAAATATAGAACATTTATATAGAATCTTTTCACTTTGACAAAAAGTCACCAATTTGAAATTTATTTAGGTTTGAATTGTCACTCTAATAAATAGCTTTAAGTACTCTGTTGGTAACGTTGCGCTTGGCGCGGAAATGATAATGGAGCTTTTGAGCCTCACAAGCTCGGGTTACAAAGATCCATTGAATATTAAGTTTATTGATGCTGAAATTTGTATATTTCTATAACATAAAAAGTGCATGTATTATGGGATACATTTGTGTCCTGAGTTTACGATAGTGGAAGATATATTATTAAATTCGCGAAATTCGATGCTTACCTTGTAGTGGTAATGCAAAGAACATTGACAGGGTTCAATACATGAATGTTATACCAAACAGTCTTTTCCATTAACTGTAGTCTAAGTTTCATTAGTAACTTAAAAAATTCTGCATAAACATACGATTCCGGTACGTATTCAGATGAGTAATTTATAATTTAGCAGATAGATAAATATAAAAGACAGATGCATGTACAAAATACATACAGATACATGTACAAAATACATACAGATACATGTACAAAAATAATATGAAAATCCAATGCAACATTTAGTATAATACATTGTTTCATAAACCTTACTTATTCTACTATAAAAAACTGTCAACCTGAAATGTGAATTCTCAAGAATTTTCAAAA